CATACACCGTTTCATGTCATGACTTATATTTGATGACGCAAATGCCTCGTTGATAAGCTTGATAGTGGGGCTGGCACCAGTGTAATGGAAAAGGTGATTTGAATATCCCTCCTGAGTACTCTGTTTGACAGTGCTGTTGTTTATTTGAACATTTTAACCCTCTCTGTAGGTACCTTACTTTAACCCTCATCCGTGTAATATTATTTTGATCATTTAGCCTCTTTGTCTGACTTAGCACCCAATATTTGTCTTGGTTTCGATTGAAACTCATCATTAATGCTTCGCCTCACCACTGTGTGACGCTGGATCGTTGACAACTCAGCGCTGTTCCACTATTCCCGACATTTTGTTTGGCTCAACCTAAGGTTGTACTGCGAAGTGGCTGCTGATCTTTTGACTTTCTACTGGAAAAAATTACTAGTTGATTCGATTCTTGCAGACAGAGTTCTGGTCCCATTTTGTTGAGATCATTCTCACCGATTCTAAGTTAGTTAACGATAGTATTTGGCCACTCAACTTCTTACTGTATAGTATGCATTCCACGCCAGAGAAATTTTTAGACTGTACAGTTGCCCAGTGGCAATGTTGGGGTACCTTTGCAATTTTGATATGACTTGTTGTTGCCCACCACCACCACAGATTTGCCACGAATCTATCACAGATTTATCATGTCAAATCGTGTCCTGATGGTGTTGAAAAATAATCTTTGGCTGTGCCTGATTGAGGGACGATTGGAAAACTATACAGTAAAGTGCAGTGACTTGTCTGGGTAGTGTTAGCTTTGTTCCGTCAAATCTTTTCCTGAGTTCAGGCCGAAATAAACGGATTTAGTCGTTACATCCAGGGGGCGAAAGGCTGCAGAGCCCGCCAGATACCACACGCTTCATTGCTTAAGGAACAAATAGAGGAAGTTTGTCAACGAGTGAGACGTGTAAGCATGACAATGTCAAACTGAACTTCGAAGAAACGTCTAGTGCACCTTTTTTGAACCAGACAACTGTTAGGCTTAAAACAATTAAATCAGCATTTAAAGTATGCAGGTAGCAGCTATATAAACAGGGTCCACGAGTGACTTCAGTTATCCAAGTTTGTTTTAGTGCATGGGCACCTACTGGTTGACACTCGTCACGTTGGCTTCTTTTTTCTGGCTGGCAGCAACTTTCTCAGAGCCCCTACCTTAGTCATTAATAGACAAATAAACTAATCTCCCTCCCTTAATATAGTGCCTTTATCTCTGACCATTAAACAAACTTTTGTGCGAGTACTTTTTACCACATAAAGTGTTTTGGAACGTGCTTTTTATCAACGCTTACACGCAGGTAAGGTGCTGATTATTCGGTCACTGAGGCAAGTCAGTTAATATCAGGCTGGCCGGGCGTTAGACGGCTGTAGCGCAAGACGCACTTTACAAGTCTGAGGAAGTTGTTCGTGGTGTAATAAACGTCTTCAGTCCCGAACTATCATCGGCTGGAAGGGCGCTGGTAATCACTGTCCGAACACGGAACACTATTAGCGCGTTTGTGTAACAACGCATCAGCACTTTCGTTTCTGTTACCTTTCGTACACCGAATATTGGAAATAAACTGCAATACGGACCCTGGGTGCCATATTTCATGCGACGAATAGCCGCTCTTTTTAGCTGATGGGGCTTTGCTGGGGGCTTTGTGGTCTATGAAACTGTAAACTGACTACCTCCTTGCATTTGCTTGAAGTGCCGCATAGCCTGGTATACAGTTAGCGACTCTCTACAAAATGTTCTGCGAAAGAATTGAGTTCGATGTAAGCGCCTTGAAAAGAATTCTAGCAGTTGCCATTCTCCAAATACCTTCCGTTGTAAAGCTGCTCCGACAACTATATTAGAGGCGTCTGTCCTGAAAAGAATTGTGGTTTCAGTAGCAAGCTGCTTGGTTCCTTAGAACGACTGAATTACTTCTGTGGACAGGTGGAGAGGGCGTGAACGTCCACGTGAACAATCAGTCAATGAATACAGAACAGCGGCCCAGTTCGGGAGGAGGCGGCGGTAAGAGTTGATTGAGTTTGGTAGGGGACGCAGTTTTTGGACGAGTTCGATAGTGTGTAGTCTTTTATAACCTATACTTCATCTGGAACTTTCAATTAAATGTTCTGAAAATGTGTTTTCCCCGAGATTAATCGCCGCCCTAAAACCGTTATTGGAATGCGGCTGTTGGGTAGTTCCCGTGTCCTGTTTCGTCTGCACTAGCAGCGAGTTAGCCCCCCCTGTCAGCATACACAAAGGAGAGTCCACAGCAGATCTTATTTACAAACCGTTGAAATTTATAATGCAGACATTACATGACCGAGACTACCCCCAGCTCATTGATTCTATTGGGGTCCGTCATTCTACATTTGGCTACACCCATATGTTCCTCCATTTGTTCCGTCGAACGAAAAATCCATTTATTCTCTAAATGTCTCTGCTTATTGTAATATCTACTAACAAAGGTAAAAGAGCAGTAGGATACGTCATAGAAACCCTGTCTCATGGAGGAGACTCCAGAAGCAGTCAAATTAAAAAGTTCGGCCGGTAAATGCAAGAAAAATGTCTTTCGGTAAAATGGTCAAATTGCGAGTGAAACACCATAAAAATATCGATTGAGCAAAGCGAGTAGTCAGTCCCTTCTCGAGAACCTTAGGCTCATCTGAAATGAAATTACACAAAAAAGATCACGCCTCAGCGTGGAAATAGGTCATCTTAAACCTGAAGATATCATACACGTCTTTTATGCGCCACGAATAGCCTTGTCTAGTGTATCATTTGGTATTGTGCATGACAGTCAGTTCACATTCCCAAGGTGATCAGACCCATAAACCGTTTTGTTTTCATGAAGCTTATGCTGCATGAAACATACTACACTATTATTACCAGAAGCGAAATAACAACCACAACATGAGTAGAAAGTTCACAGTCTCTATTGTCTTGCATTATAAGTAAGGTTTACCGGAAACTGTAAATAGGATCCTCAAGGAGGCTGGAGTTGAGGAGGTACTTAAACATACGAACCCACTCAAAGATAAACTTCGTCGGCTCAAAGATCCAATGGAGCCAGTTGGGCAAAATAACTTATCTATCGAACCCCACTATAGAATAAGTCAAACCAGCCGATCGGGGCCGGTTAGAATGGCAGAACATAGGAGCGTAGCCAAATGTAGAATGACGGACCCCAATAAAATTAATGAGCTCCTGGGAGTCTTGGTCATGTGATGTCTGCATTAACGCACAACCACACAATAGGGTGGGATAAAGCCACTGTGCTCAAGTCCAGTAGAATTGGGTGGAGGTAGATTGACTACTGAACCTTCGTTCACCGAACTAACACCCAACACATGTAGCAGGAATGACACAACACCCATACCAAAGATGGGGAAGATTTCACCACCAACAAACAAATAATATGTGGTGAATGGACTACAAAAATCGGATGTCAAAAGTGGTGTGACTACGTTGATATGATTATGGGAAATTACTTCTGGCCGAAACGTTATCAAATAAGTATCACTCTGTCGCCGTGTTATACAGGGAATAAACAAACTTAACGTAGATTTACATTCTACTGCACGGCCCAAGTGTTAGGTTTATATTATTGGTAAAAAGTGTGAATCGAAGGGATGTCAAATAACATGTGTCATTGGTATGTCATACATAATTGCTGGAGCACATGCTACAAAATGCCTGCTGAGGAGGGTTGAATGATGTGACGAAGTGACTTTATTTCCGGCCGGAATCGGTAGTCGGTCCCATATGATGCTGTACTTTGTGATATAGACGTTAGACCAGAATTTGGCATGGCATAGTACACAGCATAGTACATTGAGAGTCTGATGCCCGACGTTTTATCTTTTAGAGTGGTAAGGAGACGGTCATTGTTGGGAAAGTATACCGTCACCGTCTAACAGTTCAGAAATCTGTGTTCGGGTCCGACTTTACTCCCCTAAGCCATGAAGGTTCTGCTTGAAACACCTTGCCTCTGTCATGGTGGAGAAAGTCGTTTCTATTCTTCAGTAGCCTTCTAGTAGATCTTTATTACACTTCTTTAGAATTAGGCCTGTTTGCTATTGAGATATTGTCAGTATTGTGGGGAGGGGACGGGAAGAACTGAAAGCAGTAGCCGAATCATCCTGTGGATGGGCTGTGGAGGTAAGCCTCTTTTGGATGCAGTCATGCCTGTCGGTCACGGTGAACCACGGGCTGTATAATTTTTGCGTTCACAATTACAGAAATTCGAGCAAAGTCGAAAGCTATGGCCCTAAAAATACAGAAGACTGTGTACAAACGGCGGCAAAAACCTTATCGATTCGTGTGATCCTAGCGAAAGGTCTTTCAGTGATCCCGGGATAGATATTATGTAGGAAGCCTACTACGTCTCAGTGAAAGATTGCATCCGCACTGCAATCCTATGCTTTTAATCTGAAGAAGGTATGTCAGGATCGACTTAAAATTCGGGGGGTAAAGTAGTCATCTTTGTAACCTCCCTAAAGAGAAACCACTGTATCGATTTAACCAGCTCCCATTATCCCAGGGGCATAGCACAATGAGTACTGCTCTGGACACTTTTCTATCTCATTTATCCCAATCACATTGGAGGAAATCGGTGAAACTTTCAGAAATCTCACCATAATCATTTGTGTGTGGACATCCGTTTCCAGAAGCGAACTTTGTGCCAGTGGAATTCTCTGCTGAAGCTTGTGGTTTCAGCAACACACGCTGACCTGCTGAAAATAAGATCTGGCCCTAACGAATAAAGCATATAGGCCAGTAAGTCGCTCTACCTTCTATCCTTATTTACAAACTTTGAAAGTGAAAACTGAGGTGGACAATAATGAGCTTCAGAACTATACACAAAAAGTAGAACAGGTTTGTATCTTAATTAAAGAAACGCTACAGAAAATCTGGATGTGATAATTCAACAAACTGCAGTTACCGTTTTTCACCCATCCTCAATGTATACGTCCAATAGGACGTATGGCGATTATGGAGGGTTTTTGTCTTGCAAGGTTATTTGTGTGCACGTTCTGAACATTACATCAGTTAAGAGGTCACCGTGACGACTGTTAAAATAAACAATGAGGTTGCTGTATTTTGGCTGAAAAGGCAATTTTTCGGAGATTAGATAAACGTGATTGTTTTTCTCACCATTTGCTAGGGTGGCCTTTAAATCGCACCTGTTAGGCTTACGCTGTTTTTAATGAGGTGGGCAGCAGGGATAATCTAGAACTGAAAACTTTTGAACGTCACGATAATGGTAGCTTATTTTGGTCTCTTGAGACTTAAGTGGGTAATGCGACTCAACTACATGGTTAGGAATTCTACGGAAAGTCTTCGAAAACTAAGTGATGCTATAGGTACTTACTGGACTGAGAAGCATTCCTTGTTGTAGAAGCGTAATATGATCATTCTGATGTGGCACTAATTGCTTGTTAAGTGATGGAATACTGGTAGTGTGAAACTAAAAGTTCTCGCTTACACTACCGTACTGCAGGATTGACAGACAAAACGTAAATATATGCAGAACAAAGAACATCTGCAAATCCTTTCTAAGGTTGTCAAATGTGTCCGTTTATTTCTGTTTTGGGTTTCACTTTTTGACTTTTAACTACTAAACTCTCTACTTCGTTCAGAACAGCTAGGTGGTATGGCTGAAGTTGATAGCCCTATGTGTCATCAATATCAGCACATGACTATGCATAACTGAGATTACCTTCCATGAGGATACATGTAATTTATATATAAACTTATTCATACCTGTAAAAATGGTGTGTACCTGTATATTCAGGAACAAGTATTATTATTATTATTATTATTATTATTATTATTAAGTCCAGGTTACTACACCTCATCAGCACATCGAGTGACAAGATGAAGTGTGAGGAAACACCAGTCATGAGTAGAAAGTAGTAAAATAGAAGAGGGAGGAATAAGAAAGTGTTAAATTCAGTTTGGTGGTTAAGGTGAAAATAATTTGTGGTTACCACTGACATCAATTCTGAGCCATATCACCATGAGTTTCCAACCACTGATTACTATTGTCACTTGGACACCAACCAACTAGTCTGCATCAACCTACACAGCTCAGACCAACAGTCGAAGACTATGCATTGGTGACATGTCTTAAGCTAGCCGCCGGGGCTTTTCTCCAGCCTGAAGCTACCTCAGCTAACATTGCACGACGAGGTGAATGGTGAGTAGGCATGCGTTACACATGTGCCGACTATCTCAGTTGATTAGGCTTCAAAACAGAATCAACTGACTTTACTCTCTTCTGCGTTACTCACATGCTGACACCACAACATGGCCTATGTTGCGATAACGACGGCGGTTAAGCTCCTGAAGCCTCATTTCCTCTCCCTTTAACGACCGTTTCACAGCTATACAAAGCGGACTGCAGCACATTACACCACCCTTAATAGACAATCGGATGTCGCCGCGGCGCTGCAGATGGCGTAACTTGGCAGAAGTTAGTCGAGCCTTTTGTATCTGTGCCGAGATTTCACCGACCACTGACTAATGACCAGGGGTGGTTTGACTCCTCAGGTAATTAAAGTGCCCATCGCACTCTACCGCTTCACCGCTGAGGACCAGTACTTGAACGATAATTTGCGTTTGAATGAAGAGACACCCATTCCAAACATTCTCGAATTGCACTGAGGGTGTCCAAGAGTCTCTACATCTTCTCGGGGTCTTCGCGTAACAGAACTATGTCGTCTGCGTATTTTAGATCTACCAAGGATTCTCCAATAATTGAATAATTCCATGTGCATTCAGATGATGAGAGGCAGACCTCCAAAAGAATGCCTATGATAAAACTGAATAAGTGTAGAAAGTGGCCATTATTGATGGACAACGCTTGATGTACATGGCTTACCTGACAACTCATCTTAGGCTCTGACGCGCCCACGAATGTTCGTGTAAAGAGCCTTCAACAAAGTGGCGTATTTACTCGTTACTTTTTACGGTGAAACTATCATAAGACCTGTCGATCGATGGGATGCAATACCGCCTTCAGGTCGAGAACTACAGCTATTATCGGGCGTCGGTAAGTGTGCTTGTGTTCCAGAACCTGGCGAAGCGTGAATATCCAGTCGATACACTCACGGCCAGGTCTGGTGTCGTGCATTTGCTTATAGACGTGAATTTCTTCGAGTGGGTCACAGATTCGGTCACGGCTTAACCTACCAAGCTTTTGGAATCCGGGTAGTATCATTAGCCCTCACGCGATAGGTGCGGCTTATCGCCCATTCCACGAACGTGCACAGGGTTGCTGAGTGGATTTCAATTTTTTTTCTCACGTTTGCTGTTTCTGACCCCACTCAAACGTCTAGTGACTATTGAACCCAGAATCTTAGACACTGTTTGTCAGGCTGATTTATTTCTGGTTATAACAAGACTTCTCTTCCTTCTTGAAAAAACTAAAACAACCAATGGTTGAAATTAGTAAGCGGAGATCGTGTCGGACGGACGCACTGGACAACACTTCAGTTGACGGAAATCCTCGACTACCATCCGTAAATGTCTTTTGAGCTGGTCCATCTGTTCCTGCTGCTCTTCCTCACTCTCTCCATTCTTGTTCAGTTTTATAGATATTCTTATGGAGGTCTCACTCTCGTCACCTGACTACATGGAGGCTGACCTAATCGCAAGGGAATTTTTGTTAGACCTAGAATACGCAAATGACATAGTCCACTTAAGACGCTGACACGATGCAGGGTCTTCTGAATACTTTGAATGAAAATTTGAGAATATTTGGCATGCGTTTCTCACCACCCAAATGCAATTTGTTACTCCAGGAATGACTTTCAATGGTGCCATGGCTAAAAATACAGAGTGCAGTGATTGTGTCGACCACTTCACTTACCTGGGAAGTAGAATCAGCTCTGATGCATTGGTCAATGCCTGATGAAATCTCTGCACGAATACAAAAGGCTCGATTGGCTTTTGCGAATTTACGCCACCTGTGCCACCACCGTGATATCCGATCGTCTATTAGGGTCGCGTGTAATGCACAGCAGTCCACTCTGTTCTATTGTATGGCTGTAAAACATGCTATTGAAGGTGGAAGACAAGACATGAGAAGGCTGGCTTCAGGTGTTTGAGAACCGTTGACTTCGAAGTATAGGTCGTATTCCGTGGTGTCACCACCACGTGAGTAACGCAGAAGTCAGGTGTAGAGTTTTAGGGAGAAGAGGTAAGTCGGTTGACGAGGTTATGAACCTTCATCGACTGAGATGGATGGCTGTCTGAGACATGTGTTACGCATGCCTACCCACCATCTACCTCGTTTCGCAATGTTGGCCGAAGTAGGTTCAGGGTGGAGAAAGGCTCGAGGCGACCAGACTAAAACACGGCACCAATGCATAAAGTTTTTGACTGTTGGTTTGAGCCATGTGGGGTCCACGGGACAAGGGAAACCAGTGGTTGCAGACTGACTGTAGGTGATGTGGCTCAGAATCGATGTCAGTGTCGCATATATATATATATATATATATATATATATATATATATATATATATATATATATATATATATATATGTGCATATTGTTCTTATCTTAACGCTATACTGAATCTCACCATTTTCTCATTCTTCCTTTCTCTCTTTTAGTACTTTGTGTTTCTTTTGACTGAATTTTCTTATCTTCATCTTCCACTTCACTGCCTTTTTACTTGATGTAGTGATATGAGCTGTGGCAACTCGGATCGTTACTCAGTAATGCCTGGTCTTATATTGATTTTGAAGATGGATGAGTGCAACGTAGTTATTTAAACCTCTGTAGGTGAAGTGGGGCCCGAACATTTGACCATTTGATTAAAATCCTGTTGTCTAAACAAAGATACCATAGCCTATTATTAGTTTGTTTTGTGTAAAGGGATGATAACGTGGTTACGAAGTACCTATTGTAGTTGAATAAACCGTATTGTTACGGAGTGGATAAAATAGTTACTTTTGGATGCAACATTTATTCTTCTTCCTCTGTAATACTGAGATTTCAACAATGCAAAGTAAACGTGTCTGAACCTTTTGAAAGATTCGTTTGTATTTTGTAGACTACACTTGAAGGATTTTTTTAGAGGTGATAGCTGTCTGGATATTAACTAATTTGTACCCAGTTTTATCAAATCATCTTGAATGATGGTTATTAGATTCGATATTTTTTGATGGTTTATTCTCATATGAAGCTGAGACGACCTTTAAGAATGAAAATAGGTGATCTGGCTACAAACTTTCGACCATAGATGTCTTTGTGGCATTGTTTACATGCGATAGGACGGCAATGTAAACAATGTTGAAGTTGGGTGTAGAGTACTAGGTAAGAACATGCGGTGTTAATCGAAGTAGGGTTACGTTGAAAGGTGTACATACTTTTTGTCGCCTTCGAATTCTTTAACACTTTACCAACCCTCATCTTGTTTATTTACGCTTCTCTAAACCTTTATCGGTTTCAAAATCATGCTTTTTTTTATCCACTTCCGCTATGTGCTGTTAGGAAGTTTGGGAACTTAAAGTGATGCACTCAAGTGCTAGTTTCTGTGCTGACTTGTCTCTTTGTCTGGTTATATATCCCGCTGTCTCTAATTGAACATTATCCTTCTAAATAGCTGGCGATTTAATATCATACCTTTTATCCAAGAATTTATTTTGCCAACATGCAGAATGTGTCTGTCATCAATCAGTATAATTTCAGTTGTTCTCCTTATAAATGAATATTTCTGAGCTAACTGATTTTGCTGCTATATTGTAGAACATGACATACGCCAAGGACGCGGAAGTTTCCAGTGACGAGTCAGTAAGTATTCAAATTCTTGCCTTTAATTATTGCAGATTGAATGCGAAGATGTTGAAATCGAGTAAGATTATTTTTCAGTTTAGCATATAGTTGGTTAGTTATGGAAATCTAACTGACGATGCAGCACTTCGATCGTCTACCTATGGCTCCTCAGTTCACAAGGACTCAGTCAAGTAATCTTGTATTTTACAATTATGTTGTTACAATTACAGAAAGACAAAAAATACAGCTGAGCTGCGCGTCAGCAAGGGAAAAGTGTTGAATTATCTTCGGATACCAAAAGCTGTCGATTTCATGTCTCCAGATCTGACTGAATATGTTACAGAGATGCAAAGAGCAAGTTTGATTGCACAACTCAAAGCTAATAAAGATTAATTTAATCGAATGTGTTAGTTTTTCATTTCTGTTAGGATATTTGGTCAAATTAATTGTCTTTGATAGGAAGGATATCATGTAACTGTGCCCTTCAAAGTGAAGCTTGCCAATTCTTGAATCTTGTTCACTAAGTTTTTTGTTGCTGAATTGTGCACTTTGACGGGCTATTTGATTTTGCTCATAGTTGAAGAATCCGTACCAATCTACAACGTGTTGGTCAGTGAAGGTGAAAATTGATAACGGTCTATCCAAAATCAATCACCTGACTGGCAAATCAAGGTAAACCCTTGCATAGAAGTGCATTGGTTCAGTTTGTCACCTTCAGTTATCTACAAAGTTCTACCAATATATACTCAGCTTTCATTTTCTAAACACGATGTAGTAATTAGAGAACACAGTTCAAAGCAAATACATATTTTCGGTAAATTCAGGTCAGTTTTTACAATTGTACTTGGAATGGGAGAAACCCAAAGGAAGTAGTATCTTTTACCTACCTAGGCGGCATCGTTTCATCTACAGGTGCCGGCCCAGATGAAGATGTTAAAGCCAGGATCGAAAAGGCAGCAAGACAGGCCCTCATTAATCTGAAATAAACAGTGTGGAGATCGACTGCACTCAGCCTAGAAAACAAGATCTGGATTTTCAACACTAAGTCGATCAAGTCAGTGCTTCTATATGGTTCAGACACTTGGCGCGTAGCGGAAAGCATTTCCGACAGACATACATCATATCAACAGCTGCCGCCTATGCTCACTCGATCCTGAAGATAAGATGGTCAGAATAATAAGAATAAGCAACAAGGAATCTGGCTGGCAACGAACCCAGCAAGAACCCATCACCCAACAAATATGCAGAAGAAAGTGCAGATGGATTGGATTGGGCATACACTGAGAAGACCATTCGGGGATATCATGCCACAGGCCAGACCCTCGAGTGGGAAACGACGAGTTGGGTGTCCCAGTGGTGGGTGACATGAAGGAGATCATGTGAGGAAGAAATGAAGGCTTGTGGGTGGAGCCAGGTTGAAAAGACTGGAGAGAAAAGAGTAAAATGGAGACGTGCTACTGAATCCCTATGTTCCACTAGGAACCCAAGGGACAAATAATAATAATTTCAGGTCTTAAAATTGTACTTGCAAATTATTCAGCATAGTCATTTGTTACGATTATGGTCAATCGAATTCGGACACACTTCATTGGTGGATACCAATGAAGGCGGTATTACCGATAACAAAGTAGTCAGTCACTGTGGATGGCGTATGCATGTAGGGATGAAGGGGAAGAAATCGCTATCCCGTAGCTATCCGATATTAGGATGTGTAGATTTTTGATCAGCTATGAAACTGAGCGCAGAATATGAAGTCAGGATTTAAGTAGATGATGATAAATGTGCAAAAGAAGGTGAAACTAGGATTTATTCGAGTAGCCGGGATGGAAATTGTTATACATGTATCTGCACTTGGTAGTTCGAGGGGCACCAACTTAGAGTGCTGTGATGGCGCCTGGTATGGGCTGGAGTTTTATGAATCTTATGCTTGGTCCCCGAATTCTATTTACCATAATGGTATCAAATGATTATGCTCCATAATTTTTAAATTTAGTCGTAAAGCCTAACGAGGATTTACTGAAACGTTGTATTTCCTTAAACTCTGTTTTCTAATTATTACGATTTAGTATGTTGCTCATTTTCTCGTTGATTCCTACAGTATCATGAGTCTCTTATACATATTCACACCTCCAGTGTACGAAATACGATTATTATATAGGTTTATCTTCATCACCTCAACGTATGATGTATGGTGTGTTTAATGTACTCATAGTTACAGTGGATCATCATCAAAATCAATATAAGACCAGGCATTACTGAGTAACGATCCGAGTTGCCACAGCTCATATCACTACATCAAGTAAAAAGGCAGTGAAGTGGAAGATGAAGATAAGAAAATTCAGTCAAAAGAAACACAAAGTACTAAAAGAGAGAAAGGAAGAATGAGAAAATGGTGAGATTCAGTATAGCGTTAAGATAAGAACAATATGCACATATATATATATATATATATATATATATATATATATATATATATGCGACACTGACATCGATTCTGAGCCACATCACCTACAGTCAGTCTGCAACCACTGGTTTCTCTTGTCCCGTGGACCCCACTTGGCTCAAACCAACAGTCAAAAACTTTATGCATTGGTGCCGTGTTTTAGTCTGGTCGCCTCGAGCCTTTCTCCACCCTGAACCTACTTCGGCCAACATTGCGAAACGAGGTAGATGGTGGGTAGGCATGCGTAACACATGTCTCAGACAGCCATCCATCTCAGTCGATGAAGGTTCATAACCTCGTCAATCGACTTACCTCTTCTCCCTAAAACTCTACACCTGACTTCTGCGTTACTCACGTGGTGGTGACACCACGGAATACGACCTATACTTCGAAGTCAACGGTTCTCAAACACCTGAAGCCAGCCTTCTCATGTCTTGTCTTCCACCTTCAATAGCATGTTTTACAGCCATACAATAGAACAGAGTGGACTGCTGTGCATTACACGCGACCCTAATAGACGATCGGATATCACGGTGGTGGCACAGGTGGCGTAAATTCGCAAAAGCCAATCGAGCCTTTTGTATTCGTGCAGAGATTTCATCAGGCATTGACCAATGCATCAGAGCTGATTCTACTTCCCAGGTAAGGGAAATGGGAAGTAGGAAATTTAGTTGTTACTCATCGTTTTCTTCGTATACGATTTTTATAACGAAGCTAGGCAATTGAGAAGGCATATGTCAGCTCGTGTATTAAACCTTTGGTGGAACTTTTTATGTGCCTCGCAGTAGGATAGTTTGGCGGTTAGTGGTGTGGTATTTTAGACTCATGAACCATCAGTCAGGAGTCATATGCCTAAACAGAAGAATCACAACCTTCCATTGCAAATCCATTGTAACAAGGAAATTTAGTATATTACCATAGGGTTACTTTATTTTAAAGATACTCCAATTAGTTGTGAAACATCGTATGAACATAGATAACTGATCATTTACAGACGGTGGACGAACGATTCATCATATATACTGTTAGGATGTGCTACACACAGGTGTCCTACAAGCGCAAAATGATCTTTGGGAACTAACGATGATGTTAACTGGGGTGTTTTAGGATTATGATCAAGTGGCGTCTTAAGGCAGGGCATGATATAAAGTACGGTGACCAAATAATATGAGATTCACAAAATAATGTCTTTTGTAGTGTGCGCTTTTTGGGGACGAAATTTCAAGAGTGATAATAATAGTTCATTCGTGCTCATTTCAGATGAGAAATCCAATTGTTTTGATTTTCTTGCAGATTTAGATCTACGGAAATGAGAAATCTCCTGTCATGCTTGAAGTAAAAGACGGTTTTTATCAGTGTTTCTCGGTTATATGAGGAAATGCTACTTAGCACTTAGATTTTCCAACAGGTACCTAATAATAAGTGACAAACTGTTGGTTTTGTTCGTATCTAAAGTCTTGTATCCGCAAAACAGTAACCAGCATTGAAATCTTTATGTAAGAACAGAGCTTACTCTTTTTGACTGTCCGACTTCTTATTCACGCCGATTTGCTGTCATTAAAGTTCGAATATCTTGCGTGTATTATGAAGCTCGAAATTATCTACATAAGATAGCATTTAACATTTCCGTTAGGATACTGTTGTCTCACTCTTCTTTACTCACTCTTCGTTTTTCTCATAGTTCTCAAGGCTACTCGTTGTTTAAATGATCTTCTAATGTATCATCGTTCTCAACTTTGGACAACACCAATAATCCCTATATATCTATACACATTAAGTGAGATGATGGAGGATATTTGTATCTCAGGAGAATACTTTTGGTGGTGTCGTGTTGCCTAAATAGGATGCGCTGACCGGGAAGCTTTCACTATCATTCTAGATAACATTATCAGCATAAACTTCAGGAAGAAGGGAGCTGTGGGAATTTCTCCAGAAGTGACTTACTAACTCATCCTAGTGACTTTGGATATGATTTGTTTTTTCTGCAATGGTCTTGTCATTGTTTCCACGCATGTTTTGACTAGCTGTCCTGCTGACATAAGCCATGATCTTATTGTCCCTCGTGTTTCCTATTGGCTGTTTGATTCCCTCAGTGCCAATTGCCAGGTCAGCCAGTGATCATTAGATGTACATCACGAAGGTCAGAGTTCACATTATTATTATTATTATTATTATTAGTCCCTTGGGTTCCTAGTGGAACATAGGGCTTCAGTAGCACGCCTCCAGTGACCTCTGTTCTCTGAGATCTTTTGAACCTGGTCCCACGACAGCCCAGAAGCTCTCATTTCCTGCTCGCACGACCTCCTCCATGTCACCCTTGGACGTCCAACTCGTCGCTTCCCATGGGGATTCCACTCGAGGGCCTGACGCGTGATGTCCTCAGTCGGCCTTCTCAGTGCATGGCCAATCCATCTCCACTTCTTCCTGCATATTTGTTGCGTGATAGGTTCTTGGTTGGTTCGTTCCCAGAGTTCCTTGTTGCTTATTTTTTCTGGCCATCTGATCTTCAGCAGCGAGCGTAAGCAGTTGTTGATGAATGTCTGTAGTTTATTGGAAATACCTTTCGTGACGCGCCAAGTCTCTGAGCCATACAAGAGCACTGACTTGACGTTGGTGTTGAAAATCCGTATCTTGTTCCGCATGCTGAGTGCAGAAGATCTCCACACTGGTTTCAGGCTAATGAATGCCTGTCTTGCTTTTCCGATTCTGACTTTGACGTCCTCGTCCGTCCCGCCTGTAGTTGAAACAGTGCTTCCTAGATAAGTGAAGGAGGTTACTTCCTTTAAGTTTCTCCCGTTGACAGTGATTGGAGTTTGTTGTTGTTGATGGTGGTGGTGCGGTATCTTCATCACTTCTGTCTTCTCTATATTCACCTGAAGTCCCGTCTTCGCTGCCTCTTCTATCAACTTGTTAGTTTTTGCCTGCAGATCTTCAAGTTTATGTGACATTAGGCATAAGTCATCGGCGAAATCCAAGTCTTCTAGGTTCTTTTCCGTCGTCCAGTGTATCCCCCTCTTCTCGCTGCCTACTGTTTGCTGCATGATCCAGTCCACCACAATAAGGAATATCATGGGGGATAGTAGGCAACCTTGTTTCACTCCTGTCTTCACTTCAAAGGCATCACTGAGCTTCCCATTGTGGATTACTTGGCATGTGGCATCTTCATATAGTTGTTGAATGAGGCGGATAAAGGTTTGCGGCACTCCGTAGTAATGAAGCAGCTTCCAAATTACCTCTCGGTCGACGCTGTCAAAGGCCTTCTCAAAGTCGATGAAGTTGAGGTGGAGAGGTGATTGCCATTCTATGCTCTGTTCTATGATGATGCGAAGCGTTGCAATTTGGTCTGCACATGATTTGTACTTCCTGAAGCCTGCCTGTTCCGGTCGTAGTTTTGAATCCAGTGCATCCCTTAGCCTCTCCAGGATGATGCGGCTTAATATTTTACTTGGGGTGGACAGGAGAGTGATTCCGCGCCAGTTCTTGCAAGCACTGAGGTCTCCCTTCTTCGGCAGTTTGACAAGGTAACCCTTCTTCCAATCGTCAGGTACCTTCTCTTCCTTCCACACCTTCTGCAATAGTGGTGTGAGCATGGCCGCTGTTGTCTCTGCATCTGTTTTCAGTGCTTCTGGCGGTATTCCATCTGGTCCTGCTGCTTTCCCACATTTCAGTAGCTTTATGGCGTTCAGGACTTCCATTTTCGTTGGGGGATTAATGTTCACTTGTAGTTCAGCGGCTGCAGGTGGTATTTCTGGACGAAGTGCAGGTGGTGGTCGATTCAAGAGCTTCTTGAAGTGGTCGGCCCATCGTTTCCTCTGTTTCTCTTCTTTTGTAATTAAATTTCCTTCTTCATCTTTTATTGGTTTCATCTGTGTTGGTCTCTTCCCTGATAGCAACCTGGTTATTTGATACAATGTCGTCAGGTCTCTCTTACCTGCAGCCTGTTCTGCTTCACTTGCCAGTGTTTCGTAGAAGTGTCTTTTGTCGTTGCGTGCACTCTTCTTCACTTCTTTGTCCAGTGTTTTATACATTGTGCTCAGTTCCTCTTGTCGTTGAGCATCCTTGCACTGGTTTATCTTCCGCTTCACCATCCTCCTCTCCTCTATCAGCTTCCAGGTATCCGTCGAGATCCATTCCTTGTCTTCCACCTTCTTCCTTCCTAATACTGTTGTGCAGGTTTCTTTCCACATAGCTTTCAAAGACTTCCAATGTTCTTCCACACAGGTTTCTTCAGGGATGTTGCTCGATGTCTCCCATTTTGTCTTGATGGCTGCCTTGAAGATCTCCTTTGTAGTTTCATCCTTCAGTTTCCGAGTGTTGTACTTGAATTGAGGTCTATCACCAGCTTCCTTGAAGGCTTTTAACTTGATTTGGAAGGTTCCTTGCACTAGGTAGTGGTCTGAACCTACATCTGCTCCTCTTCTTGACCTCGTGTTAAGTAGACTGCGTCTCCATTTTCTTGAGATTGAGATAAAGTCGATTTGATTTTTAGTGTGTCCATCTGGTGAAATCCATGTCGCTTTGTGGATATCTTTGTGCCTGAACACACTGCCTCCAATCACCAAATCGTTGAATGCGCAGAATTCTGCAAACAATTCTCCATTCTCATTCATTTCACCTAGTGCCTCTCGACCCATGGTTAGTTCTCTTCCCGTGTTGTCCCCTCCCAGTTTGGCATTCATGTCGCCCATCAGAATTTTGATATCGCCAACTGACGTCTTGTCCAGTGTTGATTGAAGTTGTCTGTAGAAATCCTCCTTTTTCTCTTGCTCTGCATTATTTGTAGGTGCATAACATTGTATGATTGTGACCTTTCTTCCTTTTGAGTTGAATCTTGCTGTCATGATCCTGGAGGAGATTGGTTCCCACTGCATGAGAGCCTTCGATGCTCTTGAGGACATCATGATAGCCACTCCCTCAGTGTGCTCGTGGTTGGCGTCTGGGTGACCGGAGTAGATTATTGATTCTCCAGTTGACAGTTTGGAGAGTCCACTCCCATTCCATCTGCTTTCGCAAATCCCAAGCACTTCGATGTTATACCTTCTCATCTCCCTTGCAATCTGGGCTGCCTTACTGGGTTCAAACATCGTGCGGACATTCCATGTCCCCACGTTTACTTTCGCTTTCATCGAGAGAAGACACATCGGCCAATTGGCTTCCCGAAGGCTTTCACCAACTGGCGTCATTTCGCCTCTCCGATTCCAGCGGGGAATAAGTTTGTTTTCATTTTTTATATTTTGTTTGTGCTTTGAAGTTTCTTTAGCGGTTAGATTTGTTTTACGGGGTAGGGTTGCTAGCCCTATGCCCAACCTTCCCTCTTTACCCGGGCTTAGGACCGGCTAGTAACTAGTAAACTAGTTAACCAGGCGAGGTTCAGAGTTCAGAGTTCAGAGTTCACATTGGCAGGAAAAAATTCTAGATCATTGCAGAAAAAATCAACCACATTCAAAGTCACTAGGACTAATTACTAAACCATTTTGGGGGGAAATCTCATAGCTCACTTCTTCCTGAAGTTAATGCCGATGATATTGTTCAGAATGACAATGAAAGTTTTACAATTAGAGCACTTAGGTCAGGGGACGTAACACCACCAAAATATACTCATGTATTCTGAATTGTTTTTGTTGTTTACTAAGACAGTTAAGGCTTTCTATCTCAGCCAGTCTTCTTCCACGTGCATTCGCTGAAGTTATCAATATCGCGACGTGTATTGAAATATACTATACGGATTTCTATCTCAAATCTATAAATCACAGCATATAGAAATCGTTTTTGAGGTTGGAATTATACTAATCTTTCTGTTTTCAGCTTCTGCATGATTTCTCGTTGAAATCTCCAGGGTCTTTCCTGATGGTGTTGGTAGTCACTGCCCTTTCCCTTTCAGTGGTACAGTGCAGTTTGTACTCACTTATATAGTGAAGTTAGTGAGAATGCCATTTTCCAGTGTTTATCATCAAACTATAAGTCACAGTGACTATTTGATATCAAGATACAACACCTGGTTAGACTTCATTTCTTTTCTGTTTGCTTGAAGATATGATTTAGTTCCCCCCAAGGTTTACAGAATACAATTTTGTAGAGAGTGTATTCGTTTTTCCCTACTATATTGATAGATTAGCCTTTAACTGTAAGTTTTTATTTTGTCATAGATTGATGTATTCCAAACACAGTCTTTGTAGTGTATCCAGAGATGCGTGGGTGTAGATTTGTAACTGTCATTTTTCATGAGTTTTGTCGTCAGCGAAAAAAGAATGCAACAATATTCACTTGTTGGTGGGTATTCAGTAGGTATCTACTTCTCTTTGTATCATCATTGATTATCTACTTGCTGTCTGCTAAACGGTCCGCAGTTATTCAGTTGATGATTTGTCGAGTCGACTTAGTTGGGAGTTAGGACGAATGCTCGCTGATTGCATTAGATGATAGTCACACTTAATTACTAATTGACGAAAGTGGGATAATGTGGACCACTAGTTTTTAACCCAGTAGCTGGACTATAAGTTGCACACCGTGAGGTTTCATTGTCCTGGCCTCGACCCCCTGAGGGTGGTGGGGAGGGGGACGGGATTTTGGATCCACACTGGTGAGGAATCCCAACTTGGGATGCAACATATATCTAGTGGTCCCAGATTTTCAGTAGTTTTTCTGCTTATGAAAACTAGTAAACAATAATAAGTGATCTAGTTGTGAGCACAATATCCCTAATGATCTAACGCCAAGACATCCGCTCTTGAACACAGTATTTTCCTCATAACTGTAGGTGAAAAGGAAAATATTATCCCAAGTTTAAATATCTGATTACCACTAATGGGATAATTATATGCTTGTGTTAAGATTTTTCAACCAAACAAAAGACGACAGTCTGAGGTGATTGAAATGTTTTAGTGATTATCTGTTGCAATCAAGAATGAGATACAAACAGGTATGCTTATGCCAATCGGAATTTCAGGAAGACGAGAAAAAGTATTTTGAAATGTGCTTGCTGATCATCACAGGGATAAGCGGTTAGTCTTTCGTACACTACCAAGGGAAGAAAAGTGATAAGAATTGGTAACTCTCTTATCTACCTAATTATTTTTCGACTTGTGTATGCACACTATGTGTAGTGATGAGTTCAGGATGAGTTAATTATTGATATCAATTGTACTGTAATTATCCGAGTTGGATGAGATCCACATACACGTAAGAAACATGTTTTATTGTAAATGCAGACCAATGTACTTTGTAGTTGTTGGTAGTAGCTATGATCGTGGCACATATTCATACTTATTATCAGGTGTTATAATCAACAAATAACCTTGTTTTGGCCCTGTTAATATGGTAGGTTGTGTACCCGAGCTGGGAAGATAGTCCTGATGTTGTTGGGATGTGGATTGTTGCATTATTTCATTTGTTGAGACTGATGGCAATATCACAACAGCGTTTGTGGGTGATGCTGTCATAACGCGTGGATTCACTCCAGAAGTTGCTGGAAGGCCGACAAATACTGAATCGGAATGAGGTATCTGGAAAACGAGTGGTGTCGCCTTGTTATTTGTGTCATTTGTTTGTTCATTTCCTGAAGAACTGAGCATATTATAAGTAGGCATGATAACAACGGGATATTGGGGATTGGTATGAAGACAGTTCGATATTTCTCGCAGAATCTGTTTTAAAAAAAGAAGTTGTTATTGAATAAATAGCTTTAAATATTTGAAGAAAAGTAAGACATAAAAATGAGGACATTTGCTGTTTAATATTTCTATTATAGACTAGACAATATGAATTTAAAATGGTACTCGTTGCTGACCTGCCGAGAAAGCTATTCAATGACTTCCAATCTAATCCTAGATATAGTTGTAAGTGAACACGAGCGGGAATTCCAAACTAACTGTCCACTGCTTCCTGGTTCTTAGTATTTCGCTTTCTAACAAATGGGATCTTTTGGAATATTTAAATTCCCTTAGATATTCATAAGTAAACAGATTGGTCACCAGAGAGTAACCAGTATGGCACTCAAGTTCTCAACGCTTAACACTAACCAAAGTTTATCAACTATTGAGGTAAGTTAGGTGACAGTGTAGTGCAGGAATCATTCGGTAAGAAGCTTGTTGGTACTCATCATCAAGGTGCACTCAAGCTTAGGTTAGGTATTCTAACGAGAATGAAACTTGATTTATTCGACCTGACTGACGATTCTTCCTATCTATGTACACTAATCAGTAATCGTCGCATTGTACGTTCGTAAGTAAGAGTAACAAAATGCACCATTACTAAAAGTATCATAATTTGAGGGAATGTATACATGACTAACAAGATGAACGGTTGAAAACCCTCATGGTGACGTGAAGATTTTGTCAGTTTACGATATCACAAGAATGGTTTGCAAATATTCACATCACCGCCGAATTATATTTTATCTTGGTGATCAGATTATCGAGTTTTTCTCTGCTGATTTCACTCAATTTGACACTAGCGGAATAACTGAAGAATAGTATATTCAGATGAGCTTGATACGAATGATTATTTACTTGTTTCGGTTTTCTAATGCGTAAATTTTTTTCAGTTCACTTCTTAGATTAGTTTGAAACAATTAGTCCGTTTATTTGAAGCTGACTGTATTATCCACATCCTAAACTTACCTTACTTAAGTGATCTGATCTTCCATTAATTTCTGGTTTCTGTTCTGTATTGTTGATAGTGTAAAACCTTTCAGAAGCACAGATTTCAGGTGTTCTGGATATCTCTAATTTTGTTGCCGTTTGTGATGACACTAATGTTTGATGTACATTCATTTTGCAATTGTGTATTTTGTTGCGGTTCATTGGTTCACCCAGAATAAATGGTGTTGGACTTACAGGAGTTGAATAAGGAGCATCCATTTGTTTATGGAGTTGATTTGTTACATCTGTAAGATGATAAGAACAGAAAGATATTTTAAACTCATGCTTTATTATTCATTCGTTCGAACTTTTATATTCATTAAAGATATCTTTGCATAACCTAAAGCCAATCTTTTGGTAATGAGTAGTTATTTTTCACGATGTACTTACGAAATAAATTTTCCTCGAAGGCGCAAAGTCCTACTTAGTAGATATTTCACTGTCAAACAAGACATATTCAGAACTAACTTTGTAGGAAGACAGTTTCATACTTTTTATATCAATAAGAAAATAATTTAAATACATATCTGGAAAGATTTCCAGTATACCTGTTTATCTATTGTTTTCAGTTTTGTACTTCGAGACAAATGAGTTTACTGTTCCTACTCCATGAACTCTCTATCTGTTATGACGGTGTGTTTGCATAGTTAACTCACCTGAATTATTTTCTGTCCTAGATTGTTCATAAACCACTAACAACTATCCCTTTATTGTATTTCTTTTTGTAATGGAACTTTTGCTACCATTTATTGAAATCTATTCAGTTTTATAGTTAAAAAATGGAGTGTAGTACCGAAATTGCTCGTTTTCAGTTTGTCACATGTTTTGGTTCTGTAGCTAAGATATTCAATATTTAGCCACAGATAGCATCAAGCACGAATGTTCTATTCCGGCGGGTCAGGGGATCGAACTCTGCTCCACCTACTGAGGTTAGGACAGCCAAGTAGTATCATTGGCGCTCACACAATAAGTTTCGTTCATTGCTTACTGCATATGTTTGCTGAGTGCGTTTCTTTCAGTTCCGGTACCTGTCTAGCTGTGTAGATATAACTACTAGTCTACTGAATGGATTTAAGTAGAGTTGTCTGCTGAAACACATTTACTATTGCAGATTACTGCGTTAATTCAAATGGCTGGCAATCAAACTAGCAAAATGTCACTTAAACATTGGGTTTCTAAACTGCTGCTCTCCTTAAGCCCGGCTGATATGAAGTAATTCAATTTCTATGCGATAGAGAATCGTTTGTTAACATATCTTGATACCTAATTCATCTGATTGTTTTAAGTTGCAGTGAACAATTATTCATGGACAATTATTCCGCCAAAGAATTTTACTCCTTCAACTTCTTAAACAATACTCAATTACAAAAGAAGTATTTATATGGGATCAATAACTGACTTGCATTTCCACCAAGTAAATAACGCTCATCCACTGTAGTGTAAGGCGATAGTTTCATCTGGTTGACTACAATATGTGGGTTTGGGTTTATTCCTACTGGTGATGAGGATAAAGATGAACTATACCCCAATGAATGATGAATGGGGAGTCTCATAGACTTTGTAGCACACCAGCATGTATTCAGCATTGACTGATTTACAGGTATTCCACTCGTTCTTGAACTCAATGAATTGAAGTGGTGATTGTTATCGTTAGTGAAATTATCATTTTCTGTCTCATCTCCATTTTCATTATGAATTCCATAGTCTGATTTATCCTTTGGTAATAATGATGACATAACTAATGAATTGTGACCCGGTAAATGATGCCATGTACGTGGTCTGTTTCTTGGCATAGTTATACTACTACTGTTTGGAGTGTTAGTAGTAGCAATAGTATTTGATTCAACTTCGGGATTATTCATAATATCTGTCCAGACAGAATGTTCTGATTTTTGATGATTATCTAAATTTTCGTTTAGTTTTGTATTAAAACTGTGATTCTTTGGTTCATTTGAAACTTCACGTCGTATTCTTTCAAGACCCATAACTCTTGGTAAAGAACCATCTGATGATGAACTCAATGGTCTTCGTCTTGTATAAACTGGTCTTTAAATTTTAAAAGAATTTAAAAGAAATTATTGTTACTGACAATTACTCGGATCAACTTCATGAAAAGTTTTACCCCTATATTAATAAAAAGCTTTGATACAAACAACACGTTGTATGATAATGAAAACTAATCAGACTGAATTATTTATGACTGGACTGTTAAAGTGGTTTCTAATGTGGGATTCGTTGCGAATGAATAATGAAGACTACTGTAAAAATAATTATCCAGTTTCCAAATAGTTAACTTCTAGAACCTATCAGACGGCAGATTTCTGACTACTCTTTGTGGGATTCATATGGGCTTGCGGATTTCATATGTGTCTTGGATGTTTTGAACAGCGCTATTGTATAATTGGCTGCTACTTTACTGTTCAAAAATGTTCCGCTATTTGCAATAATTTGCTTCATCTGTAACTCCATTGAATCGAATGAAGTGAACATCCGGATGCCTATAAAGTACCTGAAAGAATTACTTGTAAGACGCATCTTCAGTGTACACGTGCAACATATATCTAAGCCACCTCAGTGACTGAAGGTTCACGACTTGATAGACTGACTTGTCTTCATCGCCAAATACCCTATGGTGATTCTATCGTACACAGGTAGTGCTACGAATCCACCTGTGATCAAAAACCTGTAGTTTCTTCATATCTTCTACATCCAACAGTCATTTCTCACAGACGCATTACATAATCGAGGGAACTGCAGCATAGTATACTCATCCTTCAATAGATTGTCGTGTATTTCATCGGCCCTACGGATGATGTAGGCTAACAAATGTCGAACAGGCATTTTGTATTCCAGTTGAGACTTGGTCAAAAACTAAGCCATTTGGGCTAGTGCAACTCCTTGAGTTAGTGAAGTGGTCAACTTTTTCAGTCAGTTTACTTTGTATCCTTAAATTAGGATTCAGTGGTGAACAGTCCTGAAGCATCACCTTGCATTTGACAGGCGAAGAGCAAAGGCTAAACATATTCAAATTTCTCAATGTGTTCAGTAGACTGCATCTTGTCAACGCTTTCACCTGACGAGTGAATGACGTTTTCGTACTCTAAGTCAGCTAGATGTATTCCCGGAAATAAGTCAATCCCTGTAAGGCAGGAGGGATCTAGAATTATACCCACTAACAAGTTTACAACAAAGTTGGACGAGAATGGTGACAGCGGTCATCCTTGGAGGATACCACTACTTGTCGTTACTTTAAACAAAGCTCTCTGTAAGTAGAGAGTGTGGATTAGTGTTAGTTATGATGCACTTTCATCCAGGTCTGAAACAGGACTATTTTTATTGAGTTTATTGTTCTTGATCTGCATTCAGGAGTCGTGAAACTATGAACCCTACGGTCTTAGAGAAGATTTTAGTTGGACTTATTCCCCCAGGGTTTTCACAAGAAAACTTCTTATAGACCCTGATCATTACCCAGCTAGATCAGTCTGACTAGATTACCATAGGAGTAAAACTTGGGCACTTTGGTAGATTTTAATCATATTTTAGTCTGTTGATTAGAATTGTCACACAGTCAAACAGCATTGTCTACTGGACAACGTTTTTGATTTAACTTATTGTCCATATTTATATCATGAGACATTGTCCTGTAAACAGTACTGTTTGACTGTGTGACCATCCTAATAAACGAATTGAAATGGGATTGACTAGACTATCTTTGACTCCCAGGTCCATGAGTAATTTTCTACTTCCATTTTCGGAAACATTTTATGACAACCCATCAGATCCTGCTACTTTTCATCTTCCCAGGTTGGAAACAGTTTTCGCAACTTTAAGGAGAGTTGCGGAAACAACATCTATCGATTCAGGTTGGATACTGGACAAGTGAGCGTTGCAGTTGGCCAGTTGAACTGTGATTTGAAGTATTCCTCCTAACGTCCAAACCACGTACCCTGAGAGGTTACCACGGACCCATTCTCTTTGGAAATTGTTTCGCTTACCATCGTCTTCTTTCCAACATCCTTAATAAACCAAGTACTATCTCCCTCTCTTTCGCCACACAAAACTGTTGACTCATTATGACGGCTCTTGATCCATTTACGTCTGATTTGTTTTCGCTCATCACTGTTTTCACAGCAAGCTAGTGCTGGTCTTGTCGGGTTAATTAAATCGGTTGAGGTCGAGGAAATCTACTGATTGTTGCTAACCTTGACTACCCGTGTCTGTTTTTACAGATTATTGCATGAAATGCCAGGTTCCAAAGGACTGCTGTTATGTCGAAACGAATGCTTCTCTATCTCCTTCCTAGGGATACAATTGGTGTTCTCATCTGGCACCTAGTGGGACTTAACTGCTGTGTTTCCTGTTCCAATTAGAGCCATCATCCGGCAGCAATGACTGGCAGCGATATGATCTATTCTGTATCCAGGCACTGAGTACAATGAGGGGGGGGGGCAACTCAAACGTAGACTGAAAAAAATTCTAAGCAGCGACTGCGAACAGTGGTGGGTAGTGGAGGCTAAAGAGACGGCGGCAATAAGTAACAGTATACAATTATCTGGACTTATCAAATAAAATGGAGTGAAAAGGTCACTGGTTAGTGAGGCTACAACGAGGAGGGATGGGTTGACTCACAGAGGAGACGACTGGGACGAAAAACAATCCAACGACTCCAGTTACTATACCAGTGCTCACCATCTAGTCGGAGCCTGGATGACGCATTGAGATAAAAACCCCAGCACTTGCAGAATTTGAGAATGCTGTAGGTACCTTGAGATAAGGAAAGAAAGCAGGGCCAGACGGACTAATTCCTGAGGTATATAAGAACGGTGGTAGAGTGTTTTTAGTCAATTTAACTGAAGTGTGAGTTTCGGAGTCAAATAGGATCCCTTCTGACTGGTCTCAATCACTGATCATCCAAATCTTTAAGAAAGGTGAGGAGTTCTCTTGTGATTACCACCAAGGAACTAGCCTGACGAAGATTCTAGGTTCTATAATCAATAGACTCCTGAGTGGTGCCCGGGAACTGCGAGCCTGAGAAAACAAGACAGGCTTCAGACCTGTTCGTGGGTGTATCGACCACATATTCACACTCCACCAGGTTCTGGAACACCGGCACGCTTACCGACGTTCGATAATAGCTGTATTTTTAAACCTCAAGGTGAAATTTGACTCCGTCGATCGAGAAGTCTTATGGCCACGTCTCTCATTGAAAGGGGTACCGAGCGAATACATCACCTTGTTGAAATCACATTACTCGAACACCTGTGAAAGTGTTAGAGCCTATGGTGAGATATTGTGTGAGTGGTATACGTCAAGTGGTGTCCGTTAAGGTTACCCTGTCACTTCATTCTTACTCAGTTTTACCATAAACATTTCCTATAGATATCTCCCTCTCATCACCTGACTACACAGGAATTAACCTAATCACAAGAGAAATTCTGGTAGATATCGAATACACAAACGACATAATCCACTTAAGACGCTGACACGATGCAGGGTCTTCTGAATACTTTGAATGGAAATTTGAGAATATTTGGCATGCGTTTCTCACCACCCAAATGCAATTTGTTACTCCAGGAATGACTTTCAATGGTGCCATGGCTAAAAATACAGAGTGCAGTGATTGTGTCGACCACTTCACTTACCTGGGAAGTAGAATCAGCTCTGATGCATTGGTCAATGCCTGATGAAATCTCTGCACGAATACAAAAGGCTCGATTGGCTTTTGCGAATTTACGCCACCTGTGCCACCACCGTGATATCCGATCGTCTATTAGGGTCGCGTGTAATGCACAGCAGTCCACTCTGTTCTATTGTATGGCTGTAAAACATGCTATTGAAGGTGGAAGACAAGACATGAGAAGGCTGGCTTCAGGTGTTTGAGAACCGTTGACTTCGAAGTATAGGTCGTATTCCGTGGTGTCACCACCACGTGAGTAACGCAGAAGTCAGGTGTAGAGTTTTAGGGAGAAGAGGTAAGTCGATTGACGAGGTTATGAACCTTCATCGACTGAGATGGATGGCTGTCTGAGACATGTGTTACGCATGCCTACCCACCATCTACCTCGTTTCGCAATGTTGGCCGAAGTAGGTTCAGGGTGGAGAAAGGCTCGAGGCGACCAGACTAAAACACGGCACCAATGCATAAAGTTTTTGACTGTTGGTTTGAGCCATGTGGGGTCCACGGGACAAGGGAAACCAGTGGTTGCAGACTGACTGTAGGTGATGTGGCTCAGAATCGATGTCAGTGTCGCATATATATATATATATATATATATATATATATATATATATGTGCATATTGTTCTTATCTTAACGCTATACTGAATCTCACCATTTTCTCATTCTTCCTTTCTCTCTTTTAGTACTTTGTGTTTCTTTTGACTGAATTTTCTTATCTTCATCTTCCACTTCACTGCCTTTTTACTTGATGTAGTGATATGAGCTGTGGCAACTCGGATCGTTACTCAGTAATGCCTGGTCTTATGTTGATTTTGATGATGATTTTTTACATTTCAATAGCGCAGAATGTCCTAACCGCTTTAGAAAGTTGATTCTTGAGCAATTCTGAGAGGTTCTGGTCTTTTAATTCAATATTGAAACCTCGCTTGGTTCACTAGTTGCTAGCCAGTCCGAAACCCGGGTAAAGATGGAAGGTTGAGCACAGGGCTAGCAGACCTACCCTGGAAAACCAATCCAATCACTAAAGAAACTTTGAAGCACAAAGAAGATATAAAAATAAATATAAACCTATTCCTCGCTGGAATCGGAGAGACGAAAGGACGCCAGTTGGTAAAGCCTTCGGGAAGCCAATTGGCTGATGTGTCTTTACTCTGTCCATGAAAGCAAAAGTAAACATGGGGACATGGAATGTCCACACCATGTGTGAACCTAGTAAGGCTGTCCAGATTGCAAAAGAGATGAGGAGGTATAACACAGAAGTGCTTGGAATCTTCGAAAGCAGATGGAATGGAAGTGAACTCTTCAGACTGTCAAGACAGAGTCAATAATCTACTCCGATATTGTCACCCAGACAACAACCACGACCACACTGAGTTTTTGAGTGGCCATCGTGATGTCCCCAAGAACATCAAAGGCTCTCACACAGTGAGAACCAATCTTCTGCAGGATCATAACAGCAAGATTCAATTCAAAGGGAAGGAATGTTACAATCATACAATGCCAATACTACGCACCTATAAATAATGCAGATGAAGAGAAGGAGGAGAAATTCTATAGACAACTGCAATCAGTAACAGACAAGATCCCACCCCCAGTCGGCGATATGAATGCCAAACTGGGACCAGATAACAGGAAGAGAACCAACCGTGGGTCGAGCACTCGGTAAAATGATGACTGAGAATGGAAAACTGTTTGTAGATTTCTGCGCATTCAATGATTTAATGGTTGGAGACAGTGTGTACAAACACAAGGATATTCACAAAGCAACATGGATTTCACCAGACACCTGATTCACTAAAAATCAAATCGACTTCATCTCAATATGAAGTGGGGACGCAGCCTACAGGACACAAAATCAGATCACGAAGAGGGGCAGATGTAGGTTCACACTACAATCTAATCTAGTGCAAGCAACCTTCAAAATCAAGTTCAAAACCTTCAGAGAAGATGGCGATGATAGACCATAGTTCAGGCTGAACGCCCAGAACAGAAACTGAAGGACGGAACTTCAAAGGATATTTTCAGGTTAGCTACCAATAAAAAATGGGAGACATTAGGCAACATCCCCAAGGAAACTTGCATGAAGTGACAATGGAACTCTTTGAAAGAGATGTAGGAGGAAACCTGCATAACCGTGTTACGAAGGAAGAAGAAGCAAGACAAGGAATAAATCTAGACTGACACATGGAAGCTGATAGAGGAGAGGAAGATAGTGAAGCAGAAGATGAACCAGTGTAGTGTAGGCAGGGATGAACAACGAAAAGCAGAATTGAGTACAACATATAAAACACTAGACAAAGAAGTGAAGAAGAGTGGACGGAAAGACAAAAGACACTTCTACGAAACACTGGCAAGTGAAGCAGAACAGCCTGCTGGTAGGAGAGATAGAAACCTGACAACACTGTATCAAACAACTAGGTTACTATGTGGGAGGGAAGAGATCAGCACAGATGAAACCAATAAAAGATGATGAATGAAATTTAATTACAAAAGAAGAGAAACAGAGGAAACGATGGGCCGACCACTTCAAAAAGCTCTTGAATCGACCACCACCACCATCACCTGCAACTCGTCCAGAAATACCATCAGCAACCGCAGAATTACCTGTGAAAACAACCCCTGACAAAAACAGAAGTGGAGTTTATGAAATCAGGGAACGCAGCAGGACCAGATGGAATTCCACCAGAAGCACTGAAAACAGACTCCGAGAGAGCAGCGGACATGCTCACAGCACTACTGCAGAAGGTTTGGAAGGAAAGGTACCTGCTGATTGGTTGGAAGAAGGGCTGTCTTGTCAAAATCCCAAAGAGGGGCAACCTTAGTCTTTGTAAGAACAAGAACTGGTGCAGAATCATGCTCCTGTCTACCTCAAGCAAAATATTATGGAGAGAGACTAAAAAATGCTCTGCATTCAACTGACTCGCTGGCTTTAGGAAAAACAAATCATGTGAGGATCAAATTCCAACACTACGCTATGCTACGCATCATCATAGAACACAGAGAAAAAAAAGCAATCAACTGTACCTGTACCTCAAATTCATCCACTTTGAAAAGGCCTTCATATCAAGTTGAAAGCCTTGAAAGAACCTGGTCATGATAGACCACAGATGAAGTTGAACACCCAGAACACAAACTGAAGGACGAAACTACAAATGACTTCTTCACATCAGCCATGAAGACAAAGTGGGAGACATTAGGCAACATCCCCGAGGAACCCTGTGTGGAACAACACTGGAACTCTGTGAAAGAGATGTGGATGGAAACCTGCATAACCGTAATACGGAGGAAGAGGAAGAAGCAAGACAAGTAATGGATCTGGACGTATACATGGAAGCTGATAGAGGAGGGAGAGGAATATGGTGAAACAGAAGATGAACCAGTAGAGTGCAGTGCACGAATGAACAGTGAGAAGATGAACTGCATGCAATGTATAAAACACTGGACAATGAAATGAAGAAGAGTGCACGCAAAGACAAAAGACACTTTTACGACACATTGACAAGTGAAGCAGAATAGGCTGGTAGTAGGAGAGACCTGACAATGCAGATGAAACCAATCAGAGATGGTGAAAGAAACCTAGATACCAAAGAGAGAGGAGAAACAAAGGAATCGATGGACTGATCACTTCGAAAAACTCTTCAATCGACAAACACCACCATCATCTGCAACTCGTCCAGAAATACCACCATCAACTGCAGAATTACCAGTCAACACAAGCCTTCCAACAAAAGCAGAAGTGAAGTCCTGAACACCATTAAGTTACTGAAATCCAGGAAAGCAGCAAGATCAGATCGAATTCTGCCGAAAGCATTGAAAACAGACGAAGACACAACAGTGGACACACTCACACCACAACTACACAAGGTTTGGAAGGAAGCAAGGAAGAAAGGAAGAAAGAAAAGGTACCTGCTGATTGACTGGAGGAAGGGCTACCTTGTTAAACTGCCAAAGAAGGGTGACATAAGTCTTAGTAAGAACAATAACTGGTGCAGAATCATGCTCCTGTCCACCACAAGCAAAATATTATACCACATCATCATGGAGGGAGAGAGACTAAAAATCCTCTGTATTCCACTGATTAGGACCAGAACAGACTGGCCAGTTGGCCGGCTGGCTGCCTGCAGAAATTATAAATCACATGCGGATCAATTTCCAATACTACGCTATGCCACGCATCATCATAGAACACAGCACAAAATGGTAGTCAACTGTACCTCTACCTCAAATTCATCCACTTTGAAAAGGCCTTCGACAGCGTCGACCAACAAGTAATTTCGAAACTACTACTTCAACACTGCGGTGTCAGTGCCACAATCCTTCATCAACCTCATTCAACATCAGACTTATGCTAGCTATATGATGATACATGCGAAGTGATTCACAATAGAAAGCTCAGTGACACTTTTGAAGTGAAGACAGAAAGGAGTGAGATAAGGTTGCCGTCTACTATCATCACCGACGATCTTCCTGATTGCGGTCGATTCGACTGAACTGGATCATGAAGCAAACTCTGAGGAGGTGTGAGAAAATGGGCATACGCTGGCTGGACCGATAAAAAGACCCCAGAAGGAGATTCGGATTTCGCCGATGATGATTCATGTCTAGTATTTTATCGCACAAACTCGAAGATCTACAGGCAAAAACCAACAAATTAACAGAAGAGATGAGGCGAGACAACGAAGGGAGACGGGACTTCCTTCAGGTGAACGTAGGGAAGACACAGGTGATGAAGATACCCAACGACAACAGCAACAAGCAGCAATCACCATCGACGAGAGAAATCTAAAGGAAGTCGTCTCTTCCACCCACCTGGTCAGGCAGCATCATCTCAACTACAGGCGGCGGTGGCGGCACAGATGAGGACGTCAAAGCAAGGTTCGGAAAGACACCAAGGCAGGCGTTCCTGCATCAACCTGAAATCAGTGAGGAGATCTTCTGCACTGCACTGCACTGCACTGCACTGCACTGCACTGCACTGCACTGCACTGCACTGCACTGCACTGCACTGTACTCAGCCTGAAGTGAGAACAACATACGGATTTTCAATACTAAATCGGTCAAGTCAATGCTTCTATGTAATGGTTGAGAGACTTGGAACGTCACGAAAAACATTCCAATAAACTACAGACATGCATCACATCAACAGCTGCAACCTACGCTCACTCAATACCAACACTGAAGATCAGGTCGGATCAGATGAGCAGAATAATAAGAATAAGCAACAAGAAATCTGGCTGGCTGGTTGGTTAGCTGGCAACGAACCAACCAACAACCGATCACCCAAAAAATATGCATGAGAAAGAAGTGGAGATGGATTGGATTGGACATACACTAGGAAGACCGATTGGGGACATCACGTGTCAGGCCAGATCTTTGAGTGGAACCTGAATGGGAAACGACGAGTTAGGCGTCTGAGGTGAGGGTGACATAGAGGAGATGGTGTTAGGAAGAAATGGAAGCTTGTGGGCAGTGGTGGAGCCAAGTTGAAAAGTCTGGAGAGAAGTGAGTGAAATGGCGGTGTACTTGTGAATCCATATGTTCCATTAGGAACCCAAGGGACAAATAATAATGATAGTAATTCGATTTTTATGAGTAATTTCTTCTTGGGAACAGTAATGGCATCCACAGTTACTGGTATTTTGGTCTCTGCAACAGATCTCTGGGGTTAACTTACCGAAATCTTTTAATCTCCTCATTTTTTGTGTTCTCTGTAAATCTTCTTTCAATTCTGTCGCAAAGTGGATTAGTTCTCTTTCCTGGCTTAGTGATATACAACTTTAGAATCAATCGAACTATCCATTCCAAGATGCCTTTTTCCAGATTGACCTTAGGAAAGAACTATCAATTTTTGCCATTTTGTTTTGATCTTCGGTTTTCATCAGTATCTTCTAACATCTAACTTTTAGGAATGTAATCCTAAGCTACTGACAGTTTTGTGAGTAGTCCATTTCTTTAGATAATTATTAATCATTTTTAAGTCTTTCAAGTAACGTTTCAGTAACTTCTCTTTTTGTATTTCCAGTGTAAACTTGTACACCTATATCTAACCAGCTGTTTAATGGAGCATCTTACGGTATTTGAGTTAACACTGAAGTTTATTCAATGCATGTATCAGAGGTAATCTATAAGTTGACACCTTTACACAAACTTCAGTAATAAAAATAAACTATTTTTACATTCACACTTACTGTAGATCAGGTGCAGATGGAAAAAATACATAGTCCGTATCAAGTTTCACTGCTCCAAATCCCTTGGTTCTAATTAACTCAAGCATCTGACGAACTGTTTGCTGCAGTGCTGTCAATACCTGGATACGAAAACCTGGTCGATTTCCAGCTTGCTCCCATGCATCAAGCTAAATTTGAAATATTTGGAAGAAAAGGTTAGATTCCATGAGTCCGTTAGTCATTGTGTTTAAATTTCGGGTTCATCAGTATTCATAAAATATTATGACCGTTGTGACAGTAATCGATTACTTAATCGTTTGTATTGTCAGAACACCTAAGGATGACAAAATCTAATAGTGACACAGACAACGATCAATGCTGAAAGCAAAGCTTGATCATACTTGGATGTAAATCAATGAACTCAGTTATATCACTTTAATATGTAGATAACTTAGTTATGCAATTTCTCTTACTGGTTAATTCCCATCAACACATTAGATATAAGAACTTCCTTAAATATTTTGTGAATTAGATACACATCTCTTTGTTTATTTTAAATATATTTGTAATAAATGTTCACACGTAAATGTTATTTAATTTTAGTTATGTTTATAGCAAAATGAATGCCCATAATCATATAAATTGTCGGAATTATTTGTTCCTATGTGTGTAAGTATTCATTACAAATATATTTATAACAAATTGATTTTCTTCATAGCGCACAAGTTTTTATGGATATGGAATCTTTTTGTATTTCGTCAAACATACTTTTCATTTTAGCAACTTTCAAAAGAGGTTATGTAAGATATGATTCAACAAAAGTACATATGTTTCAAAGTTTCCAAACAGACTACCTTCATTTTCGTGTTTGATAAAATCTGAAGAAATCCTTTTCGGTGGAGAAAATACCTAATTGAATTGTATACAAATTAGTTTACCTCATCAACCTTAGAAGAAGATTTTAGAAGTGACTAATACTTATGTAGTACTGATAGATAGTGGCTAAAAGTAAAATCCAGGATGCACTTTTTGCTCAGTATGTGACTCGTCAGTCAGGTGTACTTGCTTTCCAGCGAGTGATATTGTTCTCATTAAAACTGGAGTCCACCACCAGTCGCTCCAATTGCCAGATAGTTATTCACTAGCCCAGTGTGTAACGGTGACCAGTCGTGATGCGACGGGTATTCTTTGGATGTGACAGCTCCCAATTTTCCGCCATTGATTAGAGTAAATTAATCAACCACTATCGGCTACTGACTAATACTTTGGTTAACTAATACTTTTATCTGAAGTGCATCAGTAATATGTCTAAGTGATGGACAGATGACATGAATTTTATTGGTAAAAACGCAAGTCATTATTCTGGTTGCTAGTGTTTAACAAGATCAATCAGTCATGAAGTAGTCACTAATCCTTTGTTAGATTTATTTTTATGAGTACGAGTTGCTGATTTAAACAAACCGTTTCATCATGAGGACACTAAAATAAAAGAGTCCAAAAGTGTCTTCTGAATTTTCGGAACAAACTTTTTAAGGTAGTAAAAACTATAAAATATTACTAGATTTGTATACTCAGACTTATTTCATCTTCCATAGGATGACTTACTATTTCCAGCTGATGATTGATTTGAACTGAAATGATTGGTTATTTGTGGGTATATGGGCTTCTGTGCAGATGGAATGATGTAATCGGTAGTTTGATTTTGATATTCAGCATGAATAGTGGCTACTAGTGAAATGTGAGACGCATATTTTCTCCTGTTCAAGATTTTTAAGTGGGTGTTGGTCAGTAAACACATTTCCGATCACTTGTCTTTCATGCGTATAAAAGGAATTTAATCCGTACACTGATGTTTCGAGCCAGTAAGATCTGCACAGCTAACACTTTGAATTACGAATTACGAATAATAGGGAACTCGTCATAATAGAATGGCTATCCTGAAAAGTTTATAAAGACTGTAACAACGAATACAGCTGGAGAAAAGCGCCTTTAAATGGTGCCAAAGAAACGATTGTATCTAACTTTAGCGTTCAAAAGAGATGCAGCTGCAGAAACACTGATACTGAAACTCAGAGATCTGATACAAAAACTTTTTTTGCCTCCACACCATGTTTGAAATTTACTACTTGCTGTAAGGTGCTAATACAGTTGAAGGAGAGGCTTCTGAATTTGGCTCCTGTGAAGACAGTTACATAGGTAGAACGACTCAGTAAGCCCATCATCACTTCATTGAACATTGTACAGCGCAGTTAGGCAAAGGAATAGTGAAATCCATCAAAAGTTCAGTACTCGCCCATCTAGTAGATACTGAGCATAAGATCGACAAAGCCTCAGCATTTACCATTATTTAAAAAGTTCCATTACAATACTCTAGGTTTGTGCGTCCCAATTGCTTAGCATAGCTGAGGCTATAGCAATTAAAAATTTAAATTTCGGAAGATTTTCATTTGTTCCCTTTCTCTCACATAGCCTTCAACTTCAACCCAGATAGAATTACAATAAATTCTTTTCCGGTTACCCGGATAAATGTAAGTATTATCTGTTTGTACTCTTGTCACTATCATTTTATTTTTCAATGTTAGTTTCATAATTGATTAAGAATTTAAACATTTTATTATCTAATCGCTATGTGACAATAATTTTATTTCCCCCTTATCCCTGCACAAGCACAATTCACTCACACATCTACAAGAATTGACTACTGAGAATATATAAACTATCCGAGATTTCTTTTATTATTATCACCTTTACTGTTATCTTCTAATTCGTATATCCGAATTAATTTAACCATGTTGGTATCAAATGACTATGTTGAATAATTCGTAAGTGTAAATGTAAAGCCTGACGAGAATTTACCGAAAATAAATACTTACTTCAAATTCTGCCTTCTAATTATCTTAACGGGAATATTTAAATTATTGTCTTTCTCATTTAGACTCGAACGTAGCACCTATCACCTGAAGCAACAAAGCGTTATTCCCTAACGTGCATTCTAGATTCCAATCCTAGCCACTACTCATGCTGGATATAAAAGTTAAACTGTCAGTTATATCAAAGTATCTGCAAAGGAACCCATGTGCACGCATTGACCAATCATTCGGGTTCAAACCAATCAAAGAAGAGCAATAGCAAGTCATAATATAAAACTATGTTCGTTGTACAAAGAATGTCTATCGCAACTCATTACCTTAATAGGTAGTAGTCTGGCGTTGGAAGCAACAAGTTCTGGATTTGAGTCTCATTGGGAATAACAACACACTGCCAGTTAGGTAGATTTCGCTGAAGAGATTCAACTACGAAGAAACGCCAGTGAGAGATTTTGCTGCTGGATACTTATCAGTAACTCACTTTAAACTGCCGATCAGATGAGGAAATCCTTTGTTTGTCAATCATTTCGACAGTGAACAAAGATAGTAACTAACAATGTCAGCATTGTTGCTTATTGGTCTATGTACTTTGTTTTCAACCTATGAATCTAAGGTTCAAGCCCTACCTCACCTACCGAAGCTTGGACAACAAGACAGCATAAATAGTTCTCACACAACAGGTGTGATTCATCGCCTACGGCGCGAATGTCCATGTGGTGAGTGAGTTGCACAGTACACCAGTGTGAGTTATACTGATGTACAAAAAGTAGTTTTGAAATTTGTGTAACCTAGAAATGTTGAGGACAAAGAGGATAAATCTCTTCAGAAAGTTCAACGTTTTACAATGAAGTTTATTTTGTGCGTGAAATATCAACTTCCTGTTGTTAAATTGATAAAAGTTTTTATTTTGAGTGTTGCCATGTGGTTTAAATGTTCTCGTGATATTTCTGTAAACTATTTACTAGGATTATTTAACTCAATGTTAAGCAGTTTTGCAATGGAACTAAGATAGTATGGAGCTTATGCTTGTTACGAGGTGGTCATTCAGTTTGTGTATTCCGATACAAGTTTGTTATATTGAATGAATGACCCGATTATTTACAAATGCATAGCATGACTCTTATAGGCAGTTTGTGTGTTTCAGTTACAAATCAAGTTTTAAAATGTGAAAAATATTTGTTTTTTCTTCTTTATTACATTCTTTTTGAAAAACAAAGATACTTACTCTTTCCAAAACTTTTGGTGTATTAAAATCACTCATAGGTGGTCCTTGACTGATCAATGGACAACTGAATCCCAGTCTAAGTCCAGTCAATGGGATATGATGCAAGTGTCTTCCATTCTTCTTAGCATTGTCAGGTGAAATTAAACTAGGTAACTGAGACTGGAATGTGACAAAAGTACGTGGGTCACTTCGTTTGCATTCTTTACCATGAACTTGATCTCGTCTTGTCTCATTATTACGATGACGATTCGGTGGTGTATTCGACCGACATGAACAACGATATGTTACTGATGTGATCCGAACGACAAATCTATCTCTGTGATAACTTTTCATCCAAGGACGTTCCTGCTATCGGTGAAAAAAGACAAACAGTACAAAAGTGCAAAAAATATGCATGCCAAAATTGGGTGAAACGAAATTGAAGAATTTTATTTTTTATCTCATTCTACTATTTGGACCATATATAGCGTTTAAGTTGTACATTCCAAACGGTCGAGTTACTGAACAAACAGCTTGCATCTTAATTCCTGTCCACATTTTATGCTTACCCAAAATTATGAATTGATGTATGAGACGAAAACAGTGATACCTATTCCGTGTAAAATTGTTTAATTTATGAGTATTTTTATTCTGTTTTCCTTATTCATAAATGCAAGTGATATGTTTTTGACTAAACAGGTATACGAATATCCACCTACTAGTTTAGCTGCGTTTGTGAAAAAAGCTATATAGGGCGTACCACTAGACAACTTAACAAACGTGTTGCTGAGCTTCTACCTTTATGGTTAGGAAAGAGATTTATAAAATGCATCAGAAGTTCGGTTTTATCTCACCTCGTTGATAGCGATCACTTGATAGATAAGAAAAATGCTTTCACAATTATTCACCTCATACCATTTGATCTTTCGAAATGTATTCAAACTCGTCGTTTACATATAGTAGAAGCTGTGGGAATTCGAGCTAACAGTCTTATTCTTTGTATCCAGAAGAAGTTTGTACATCCCTTGGCCAAGGAATACTTAGTTAATAATGTTATCATTCAGTTTTTTCCTACCCCTTTCATATACTTACTGTATTTGTTTAGATTTACCTCGTCCTTCAATACTAAGTAACTTTTATCTTCCAAAGCTTTTGACCCACTTTTATTATCAGAGTGTCTATATTTTCATGCTTCTTTCTTGGTTTTTATCATCATTATCATCGATATTGCATGTACTTTAGTCAACGTTATCACTTTTATCATTATTATTGTGTGTATTATTATCACTATCGTTATTTTAAAACATTTATCACATTAACCGATAAATCTGCATGACTGGCTTAATTTTATGTATATTAAGCTATTTGTATTGGAGTAAAGCCTGAAGAGGATCTAATTGAAAACGATATTGTTCGCTAATGTGTTTATGTTCAAAAGTCAATAAATCTGATTTAACTTGTGAACCGTCAAATGTAATTAACCATTTGTATTCGTTTTTCAGGGTGAATATTTGTTAGTGTACTCCTTCCCAGCACTCAAACAGCTAAAATTAAAGATTTTGCTTTTAAAACCCCAAAAGATGACTGGAGTTTCTACCTTAGATGATCATAAGCATTCGAGCAACCTAGCGTTTAAAGTTTTGTGACAAATTATGAATGGGTAGATCTGCACCTTTGTTGACAGCTTTCAACTAAACTTTATACGCTTTTCAGGTAACCCTACAGTCGTATCCTGTGTAACTTAGAAAAGCAACATATAATTGTCGGTGTATTTCTGATAAGTAACCGATGAATTGGGAGATTGACGTTGTCTTGATTTATCGACAGTCAGCATCCTTCGAAACTAATCTTCCTTGATTTGTCATTGCAAGTTGAGGGTAACTAATGACCTGGCATACGCTACAGATATCTTTATTATTTTAAAAGTTGCAAGTTTTGCAACTTTACGATGCTTAACCTCTATTCTTAGAACCCTGTACCTGCCTAACTTGTGGTTACACAGACGGCAGATAATACCACATAGATATCTATGGTCGTATCATATTTACCACCTTCGATGGTCATATCTTCAACACTGAGCAAAGCAAAGTATACTTCTCACTAATATGATGTCATCTATCTCACTGGCACCAAAGATAGAAAAAGTTCAGGAATATTAGACGAATCCTTCGTATATGTGCCAAAAGTTTCCTGCCGTATGACCCACTGAGGTTCAATCAAGTCGGTTCCTAGAAAGATGAAGTGGTCATCAAATAATAGGGATGCATCTATATATAATGACGATGAGAACAGTTCCGTGTTCTCCGAGCTTTGATATTCAGTAATGGACGTTAAGGGATCAGGTTTTGTGACATTATTAGCACTACCTTCACAAAGAAGGTAGGCGTGTTTTATGAATGTTTAGGTAGTTTTTTGCAGACGGATGGGAAGAGATTTTCGTCATATTTTGACCACGTTCATAGTAAACTTCATTGATCCACACTGGAAATGAAACTCTTCCTAGACAAGCTGCAGATTCAATCAAACAATCAATATCAACACAGAACCAGGCATTACTGAGTAACGATCCGAGTTGCCACAGCTCATATCACTACATCAAGTAAAAAGGCAGTGAAGTGGAAGATGAAGATAAGAAAATTCAGTCAAAAGAAACACAAAGTACTAAAAGAGAGAAAGGAAGAATGAGAAAATGGTGAGATTCAGTGTAGCGTTAAGATAAGAACAATATGCACATATATATATATATATATATATATATATATATATATATATATATATATGCGACACTGACATCGATTCTGAGCCACATCACCTACAGTCAGTCTGCAACCACTGGTTTCCCTTGTCCCGTGGACCCCACTTGGCTCAAACCAACAGTCAAAAACTTTATGCATTGGTGCCGTGTTTTAGTCTGGTCGCCTCGAGCCTTTCTCCACCCTGAACCTACTTCGGCCAACATTGCGAAACGAGGTAGATGGTGGGTAGGCATGCGTAACACATGTCTCAGACAGCCATCCATCTCAGTCGATGAAGGTTCATAACCTCGTCAATCGACTTACCTCTTCTCCCTAAAACTCTACACCTGACTTCTGCGTTACTCACGTGGTGGTGACACCACGGAATACGACCTATACTTCGAAGTCAACGGTTCTCAAACACCTGAAGCCAGCCTTCTCATGTCTTGTCTTCCACCTTCAATAGCATGTTTTACAGCCATACAATAGAACAGAGTGGACTGCTGTGCATTACACGCGACCCTAATAGACGATCGGATATCACGGTGGTGGCACAGGTGGCGTAAATTCGCAAAAGCCAATCGAGCCTTTTGTATTCGTGCAGAGATTTCATCACTAACTAGTCATCGACACGCTCAACTACTTCACTCTCTATTGTTAGCCGTGGCACCACTGAAGACCAGTCCTGGAGCAAAAGTTTGCATTTGGGTGGTGAAAACCGCATCCCAAACATTCTCTAATTCCCACTCAAAGTATTCAGAAGACTTTGCATCTTGTCAGCATTTTCACCTAACAGGAGTCTGTCATCTGCATATTCTAGATCTAAAGAAAATTCCCCTGTGATTAGGTCAACGTCTGTGTAATTAGGTGACGAGAGGGAAACCTCCATAAGTATACCTATGATAAAATTGAATAAGAATGGAGACAGTGGGCATCATTGATGGACACCACTCGATGAGTATAGCTCCCTGGACAACTCGCCATAGGCTCTAACATGCTCGCAAGTGTTCGAGTAGAGAGCTTTCAATAAGGTGATGTACTCACTCAGCAAGCCTTTCAGTGAGAGACATTGCCATAAGACTTCTCGATCAACGGAGTCAAATGCCGCCTTCAAGTCGAGAAATACAGCTAATGTCGGGCGTCTGTAAGCATGCCTATGTTCCAGGACCTGGCGCAGTGTGAATATTTGGTCAATACACCCGCGGCCAGGTCTGAAGCCTGCTTGGTTTTCTCGGACTTGCTGTTCCCGAGCTCCACTCAGGCGTCGGAGAATTATAGAACTTAGGATCTTAGACACTATGTTTGTCAGGCTGATTCCTCTGTGGTTATCACAAGAGGACTTCTTGCCTTTCTTGAAGAATGGGATAATGAGTAACTTAGACCAGTCTGAGGGGGTCGTATTTGATTCCCATATACTAGGTAACACTTCCGTTAACCTGACTAAGAGCACCCCATCACCATTCTTGTATACCTCATCAGGTAGTCCGTCTGGTCTTGCTGCACTTCCTCGTTTCAGGTTACCTACCGCTTCCTCAACTTCTCCTAGTGTTGGGGAGGGGGGCTATCTCTATGTCCCATTCAGGATCCGACTGGATAGTGGTAAACGCAATGGTGGCTGGAGGCCAGTCAAACTGTTCGTCGAAGTGTTCTGCCCATCGTTCCAGTGAATCGCAGATCTGTCCTTCTCCGCTATGGTCTCACTAACCGCAGTCTACCTTTCCCCCCCCCAGTTCCTTTAATAAGTCTAAATAACTGTCTGCTAATACCGATCGCCGCTGCCCTTTCCGTCTCTTTAGCCTTCGCTGCCCACCATTGTTCGCGGTTGTTGCGTAGACTTTTTCTCAGTCCACTTTTAAGCTGTGCCCGCTCTTCATTGTACTCGGGGCCTGTAGGGATGAGTTCACGTGCGTCCATTAGTTCGGAAGAAGCTGCTGACATCCACTGGCTTTTTTAGCCACTCTTTCGAAGTCGGCTACGGTATTCAGTGCTGCTTTTACGGCGGACTAGAAATGGCACCAAGCTTCTTCTGGATGAGTGATAGTCTTCTGTTCCGATAACTGCCTAGCCAGCGTCTCACTGAACACAGATTTGGTGTTTTCGTTGTTCAGCAGTACTCGTAGTGGTTTTGTTGCCAAATTTTATCTACGTCCATTGAGACACAGGCATATACGCACTCGGACGAACGCGTGGTCGCTATCCAAACATGTACTCCAGGAGGAGCGGCAGTCTTCTACCGATCCTCTCCACCGATGACTAACAGCAACGTGGTGTATCTATGTCCATCGCTGCGTTGAGCTCGGTGGATGCCACGTCAGACAGTGTCTTTTCTTATGTCTGGAATCTGTGCTGGCTAAAAATAGGCGGTAATCTGAGCATAGTTGTAATCAGCGGCCACCGTTATTTGTACGTTCAGCTGGGACTCCGAAAGTGACACCTAAGTGTCTTTCTGCCTCACTCAGTCTACCCACCTGTGCGTTGAAGTCACTTGCAACAACCACCATGTCCGAACATTTGGCTTTCGAGAGGAGGTTAGACAGTTTACGGTAGAACTCATCTTCCACTTCATCTGAACTGCAGTCAATGGGTGCGTGAGCAGAGATTACAAAGAGACAGCGGCGAGTCTCTCTATTCCTT